GGGGGCGACAGGACAGGAAGAGGCGAGGCCGCTCTGCACAGCGAAGGCAGCAAGGAAGACGTTCACCCCGGCCGAACAACAACCAGCGGCACCTCATGCCACGCAACCAGCAGCGCAAGGGGAGGCCCCGAGGCCGAACGTGCAACAAGGAGGGTCGTCCTCGAGCGCGTCCGGCGCTATGCGCCCAGACCCCGCGCTGCCTGACCAACGGCCGCCTACGCTGATGCCAGACTCGGAGGAGCCACGGGCGCCGCGAGCAAAAGCCATACCACCAACTGTGAGCAAGGCGGAGTGGGACGCGCACCAGCTAACCCATCTGCCGTTCAGGTCGTGGTGTGAAAGCTGCGTCACAGGCAAGGCCGCCGAAGACCCCCACCGGCAGCTCCAGCAGGCTCCCGACGGAGCAACGCCGAAAGTGTGCATGGATTACTTTTTCCTCACGCAGAAGGCGGCGGATAAGGAGATGTACGCTGTGTTGAACGTGCTGGACGCGAAGTCCGGCGCCCCGTTTCCAGGCATGGTCAACCAAAAGGGTGAAGACGACTATGCGTTGGCAATCGTCCACGAAGGAGTGCGCTTTGCAGGCAGGACAAACTTGCTTGCATGCTGTGATGGTGAGAGTGCCATCAACAAGCTGTGTGACAAGTTCCTGGAAACCCGGCCCTCCGGGCACAGTGCCACCAAGGTGAACACGCCGAAGGGCAGTAGTCAGAGCGCGGGGCTGATTGAGCGCAGCAACTACGAGGTTGAGAAGCAGTACAGGGCATTAAAGCATAGGCTGGAGACCGTCTACAAACAGGCGTTCCCGCTCAGCCACAAGGTGCAGCCCTGGCTTGTGAGACACTCTGGTTGGCTCATCGTCCGTTTTCTCGTCAAGGCAGACGGCAAGACACCGTACGAGCGCCTGCGTAGCAAGCCATACAACGGCGAGATCGTGGAGTTCGGGGAGTGCGTCTACCACAAAAGTCCTCTGAGCGAGGTGGGAAAAGCGGACGACCGCTGGCACCTCGGTGTCTGGCTCGGGAAATCCATGCGATCAGACGAGCATCTTGTCGGCACTGCCAAGGGAGTGCTGTTGTGCAGGTCGATATGGAGGAGGCCAGAGAAGGACAGGTGGGACGCGCAGCTGCTTGACCGATTCGTCGGCTCTCCTTGGGCCCCGGTGCCCCCAGGAGTCAAGGAGGTCAAGGCCCGTGAGGTGTACATCACCCTCGACCGGATCATCCGCCTAGGCGTGACTCCCGGTTGCCCTGGCTGTCGTGCCCCAGGAGAGGCAAGGCACACAGCAGAGTGCCGGGAAAGGTTCGGCAAACTCGTAGGAGCTGAAAGGGAGGACGCCGCCAGGCGGAAGCAGGAGCGCGAGGAGGCGCAGCCAGCGGCACCTGATGCTGCACGACGCGTAGCGGCACCTGATGCCGCGCAGCCGGCAGCGAACGCTGCTGCAGCACACCCGCCTGGAGCTGCACCACCTGGTGGTGCGCAAGTTGGCCGCCAACAACAGCAGCAGCAGCAGCAGCAGCTAGCTGTGGAGGGGCAGCAGCAGGCTGCGCCCCCGGACGTTCAAATGGGCGAAGCACGAGTAGGCCAGATTTCTCGCGACGTCGAGATGGAGGGGGAGCCACAGGAAGACTCCCAGGCAAAGAGGTCCCGGCTAATCGCCGGCCTGCCGACTCTCCACGAGCCAGCTGTGGTGGCAGCTGCTTTTGGGACGTGCGTGTCTTTCTTGGCAGCGGCACCTGATGCCGACAACAGCGACCCGCAGGTATGTCCTGTACAGATGGAGTGGGACAAGGACTACTTCTCCACAAAAGCAGGCGTCAAGCTAGATCCCCAGAAAGTGCTAGAAGGGAAGATCCGCGAGATGACCCAAATAAAAGCCTATTGTGTGAAGGAGGACATCCCGTGGTCCACAGCCAGGGAAAAGAAGCTGAAGGTAGTGAACTCGAAGTGGGTACTGGAACCCAAACCGACAGCTGACGACCCGGAGGCGGTCCGGGCCAGGCTTGTGGCAACAGAAATAAACACGTATGCGCGCGAAGACGTAACGCAGAGCACACCTCCGGTGAAAGTCTTCCGGATCATCGTGTCCCTGGCCGCGTCCAAGCAGAGGGCGGACGGGTCATGGTCTAGGTTGGTCGCTGTATACGACGTTTCGGTCGCTTTCTTCCACGCTGACAGCGACGGCAGAACGGCAGTTATCCCGCCGCGGGACGTGCGCAGGGAAGGATACGTGTGGTTGCTGTTGAAGGCCATGTATGGCACACGGGAGGCTTCGAAACGTTTTGGTCAGTACGTGATACACGCGTTAACTTCGGAAGGGTTTGAACTTGTTGTTGTTGTTCCCATGACGTTCTTTCATAGAGTACTGGACGTGTCCATGAGTTGTCACGGGGACGATTTTCTCGCAGAGGGCGAGAGCGATTCGTTAGACCAGGTAGACAGCATCATGCGCAAGCACTTCGAAGTGAAGATCTTGCCTCGAGTCGGCCCCCCGGAGTTCGGCGGACAGGCGGCGACTGCAAGCCACCTGAAGAGGACGATCCGCTGGACCACATCCGGTTTTGAGTGGGAGTGCAACCCGCAGCACATCCTTGATCTCGTCGAGCTCCAGGGCCTCACACCGGGAGTGTCCAAGGGTGTGAGCACGCCAGCGTCCAAAGACACCGGGAAGGGCGACAGAGACGTCCACGATCCCCTTGGGAGGGACGACGCGGTGCTCTTCAGGACAGGAGCGGGGACGCTACAGTACCTCGCAGAGGACACGCCCACGGTCAAGTTTGCAGCCTCTGGGATCATGGAGGGGATGACGGCGCCTCTCAAGATTCACCAGATGAGGCTGGCACGCTGCAGCCGGTACCTGTTGGACCACCCAGGAGAAGTGTGGCTCTTCGACTACCAGAAAATGCCTTTATCTCTTACGGAGTACTGCGACTCAGACTGGGCAGCAGACCGAGAGACGAGGAAGAGCGTGAGTTGTGTGGTCGAGAGCTTCGGGAAACATTTGATTGATGTAAGCGTATCGAAACAGTCTCTCCTGGCCCTCTCGAGCGGGGAGGCAGAGTTCTATGCCATCATCAAAGGAGCAGCACAGGGCGTGCAGACAAGCCAGGTGATTGAATCTTTCGTTGGCCGCGAGTGCAAGCTAGATGTGCTGAGCGACTCGTCAGCAGCGCGGGGAATCTGCAACCGGCAAGGGAGTGGTAAGGTGAGGCACCTGTCCGCGAAAGACCTCTGGGTGCAGTCATTCTTCCGTGACAACCGCGGCAACCTGAAGAAAGTTGACACGGAGGTTAATTGGGCAGACCTTGGTACGAAGGCACATGCACAGGCTCGGCTACAGCAGCTAGTGGACATGATGCCACTGAGGAGGAACGAGCCCTTGAGGAGCGAAAGGAGGAAGGGCTTGAGCCCAGGCAGGGTTGCGTCGTTCTTGGCGATGTTGAATCCTTGCAAGTAGTAGTGGGCTCTGAGCCCGCGACGAACACCAAGTAGTGGACCCTGTGTCCGCAAACAACAGCGGGGCTTGACTCCGCACACGAGAACGCTGCGCACGCCTAGCCGGCAGAGCGGCGACCGGGAAGGCAGCAGAAGCCTGCCACAATCCCACAATACCAACACGCATGGCTATGGTGGTGGACTCCCCATACATGCGCTACGCCAGCTGGTGCTGGCAAGCCTGGCTGCTAGGAGCTGCTGGGTGGAGTGTGCCGTGAGCACGCCGTATGTCCGTGCAAAGGGTACGGGTATAAATAGTAAGCGTATAAACAGTATGACTTGTGTACACATTAACTGAAACAAAGCCCCGTCTATGGATTTAGCGGGCCATCTGCTCATGGATTTGACAGATGAGGAGGTGTCTACAGGAGGCTGGAGTCTGATCAACTCTCTCTTGACACTGAGCGAACCGGAAGGGCAGGGACTGGCAATGAGCGGATCGTGCATCCGCCACCTTGACAGTGAAGCGCGGCTCCGGGAGCCGCCCTGCACAGACCGACCACCCCAGCGGAGCCTGACTCCGCAGAGAGGCCGGGAGCACGCTTAGGACGCTTCTTGCCTAGGTCATGCTAGGTACAGGCTCTGACCAGACAGCGAGGTCTCGGCAGAGTGGAGGGGTGTTGAGCCCCATAGCATGATCTGTGTAACTATAGGGGGTGGGGTAGGTAGCAGCAGGGAGTAGATAGCAGCATGGTGTAGCATCAGAAGCATGCATTCTTCCATAGCCCTTTCGGTCCCGAGCGCAGGGAAAGGGACCGACCTCCTCTCCTCATCCTCCGCGCGCGCCGCCACGACATGCCAAATCAAGGGTACCCTTGTGTCCTGTGTCTCGCGGCCCATGCTTCCCTACATTCCTGTGGCAATGTGGCCCTCGGAAGGGTCTTGTGTCCTCTCGCGTGTCCTGTCCCATCGAGTCCGACTGTAGTTTGGGGACGAGGGACGATTGTAGGACCATTATTGTGTATTTGTTGACTTTTGTTTTTGACTATTGTTCGATTTTCGCCCAGCATCCGCCTGTGGGAGGACACGCTCGACCTGACATGTGTGTTCCTGCCTCTCGCACGATCTCGGGCGGCGCCGGGCGCTTTCTCTGACGTGCTCGGGCGCGCCCGCGCGGCGCGGCGCCTCGGTGCGCGGCGCGCGGGCCGGCTTCGCGCCTTCGCTCGCCCAGACGGCGGTGCGCGACACGTGGCCATCTCCGCGCCCTCTCGGGCGACCCAGAGGGTCCCCGGAGCACGAGCCTCACGTGCAGTCAGGGCCCTGAAGAAGGAACCCTTTTCGTTGGGGAGGGGCTCCGTGTTCCCTGATTGCTTCACAGTTGGCCTTGGGTTTTCCTTTGGTTTCCGATGGGGAATCGGAGTTTGACTTGTGGGAAAAAAAGGGGCCTCGTTCTTATATATCGTTCCTTAGGTCAAGGCCCCGACTGTATCCCCGATTTCGTTTCAAGCAGCACAGGCACGATGTTTGTCTCAATGCCCAGGGGCCTTCCCTCCTCTCGCGCCGAGGTGCTCGGCATCGGGGGCGGCGCCGGGCTGCCAGAGCTCACGGGGGAGTACCCGCAGGTCGCGAGGTACGAGCGCGGGCAGTATTTCCAGGCGCACGAGGACTCCTGCCTTGCTCCCTTCTCTCGCTTCCTCTCCTCCTCCTCCTCCTCCTCCTCCTCCTCCCTGATGGGGGAAGGGGCGGGCCGGATCATACCCACCGCCGCACGCCCACATGGGAAGACCCCACCAGGCCGCGCCCACAGGGGGGGGCAGCCAATCGCGCGGGGTGGGGGTTGGGGGCGACGGCATCAGCATAGCGGGTGGTGGGGAGGGCTCGACATTAGATCACGCCTATTTACATGTACACATATGTATGTATGTATGTATGTATGCATGTATGTATGTATGTATGTATGTATGTATGTATGTATGTATGTTTGTATGTTTGTATGTTTGTATGTTTGTATGTTTGTATGTTTGTATGTGTGTATGTGTGTATGTGTGTATGTGTGTATGTGTGTATGTATGTATGTATGTATGTATGTATGTATGTATGTATGTATGTATGTATGTAAATATGTATGTATGTACGTATATACAAACGCGTACATCCATGTTTGTTTACAGATATATGTACACATCTGTGCATCAAGGTATGTGTATAAATATTCGTGTGTTTTTACACCGAGGACAGGGCTGGTTGTTCCCAGGGCGGCCCCTCGCCGCGCCATGGGGGCGCTGGCGCCCCCCGAGCGCGCTGGGATCGCGCCAGTAGGTTGAGGACGCCCCCGAAAGGCGCCAAGAGAGCTCCAAGAGCGGTCCAAGAGGCCCCCAAGACAGCCCAAGTGCGCTCCCAGACGCCGAGATGACCTCAAGATGGCGCTCGCGGGGACGTCCCCCGCGGTCCGGTTTGCCCCGCCATCCGATTGTCTTCTACATGCGCAATACAGCGCTGGGAATAACTATTTTTAAACTGCCTCCCCATATTGTCTTTTGATATTGTTTTAAAGGATTGACTGAGCACTCGCGCTTACACAGCACCCCGCCCATCTGGCTACCTTCTTATGTGAAGCGGGGCATTATACATAATCTATCATGGTACAACGCTTATTGCGATTGTTTGATTTGTACTGCTCCAGCGCCTACGACCACGCCTACCAATTCATACTACCACGAGCACAACTACGGATGCGATTACTGCGATTACTGCGACTACTGTTACTACTACTACTCCTACTACTACTACTACTACTACTACTACTTCTTCTACTACTACTACTACTATTACTACTACTACTACGACTACTACTACTACTACTACTACCACAGCTACAACACGTACTACTACTACTACTACTACTACTACTACTACCCTTACTACTGCTACTACTGCTACTACTACTACTATTTCTACTACTACCACTATTATTACTACTGCTACTACCACTATTACTACTACTGCTGCTACTTTACTACTACTACGCCTACTACGACTACTACTGCTCCTACTACTACTACTACTACTACTACTGCTGATGCTGCTGCTACGGTTATTACTACTAGCGTCATCACCATTGTGACGATTACTAGTGCTATGACTACTACTTCTTCTACTACGACGTTTTACTATTACTACTACTACTACTACTACTACTACTACTACTATGATTTCTACTACTACTATTACGACTACTACGAACAGTACTAGTATTAGTAGTAGTAGTACTTTTACTACGACTAGCTCGAGTCTTAGCACGACTGCTACTACCATTACGACTACTAGTAGTATTATCTCTATCATGACTACGACTGCTCTGACTACAACTACCACGACTACGACCACTACTGCTACTCCGATTACGACGGCTACGACTACGACTACGATTGTTATTACTATTACTACTTCTACGGCTAGTCGTAGTAGTAGTACTACTACTACTACTGCTACTACGGCTGCTACTACGACTGCTACGACTCTTATGACAACTCCTACTCCATCGATTTCCAATTCATCCTACACCCACTCTTATTCCTATCATTACATACTACCATGAATACTACCATTAGTCCCACTACCACTACTACTTCTATTACGACTACGATTATTTCTATTACTACTACTACTACTACTAATACTACTACGGCGACGACGACGACCTATTACTAATACTGCTACGATCACGGTTCTCACCGTTCTCTACTCCTACCACTATTACTACTTCTTCTACCACTACCACTACTACTAGTATTATTACTACTAGTACTACTACAACCCCTACTACTTCTACATCTGGCGTTCGCATCCCCACGGTTTCATGCTTCATCCTCGGAATGCCTATAGCCCAAATGTCTCCGGAATCATTTTTAACAAGGGTTTGAAAAGGTCTGATTTGTTGTTTGGTTCAAATTCCATTATTTCCTCTCCTCAATCCCGTATTGTTTTCTTACTACAACTACTGCTACCACGACCACTACCACTTATTATTTCTACTATTACTACTGCTATCACTACTACTACCACCACTACTACCGCTAGCACTAGTTGTAGTAGTAGTAGTAGTACTACTACTACTGATGCTACTGCTGCTACTACTTCTACTACTGCTACTACTACTACTACTGCTACTACTACTACTACTACTACTCATACTATCAGTTCTAAGTGTACGACGACTACTACTACTACTACTAGTACTACTACTACTACTCTTACTACCACTTCTGATGCGACGACTACCACTATCACTAATTCTATGTCTACATATACTACTACTACTGCTGCTACTACTACGACTACTACTACAACTTCTACTACTAGTACTTCTACAACAACAACAACTAAAACTACTACTACTACTACTACTGCTACTACGACTATGATTCTATTACTATGACTGTTATTAGTGTTCTTACTACTACTACTACTACTACTACTACTACTACTACTACTACTACTACTACTACTACTACTACTTTCACTACTTCTACCACCACGGCTACTACTGTTACTGCTGCTCCTGCCGCTACGATTAACATCACGACGAGGACTATGGGTACTCTTATCATTACGTCCACGACTCGGGCTTGTAATACCCCTACGACTACTACTACCACTACTACTACTATCACTACCACGACTACTCCTATTACTACGACCGCTCGTTTGGTGCGGCTACTTCTACTTCTTCTACTACTACTACTACTACTACTACTACTACTACTACTACTACTATTACTACTACTACAACCACTACTAGTACTACTACTACTACTACTACTACTACTACTACTACTACTACTACTACTACTACTACTACTACTACTACTGTTGCTACTACGACTACTACTACTACTACCACTGCCACTGCCACTACTTGTGCTACTACTAATACTGCGGCTGCTGTTACTACTACTACTACTACCACTACCACTACGACTACTACTACTACTACTACTACTACTACTACTACTACTACTACGACTACTACTACTACTACTACTACTACTACTACTGCAGTGACGACGACGGCTACTACTACGACTATTCCTACTAGAGTTACTATTACTACTACTACTACGACTACTACTACTACTACTACTACGACTACTACTACTACTACTACTACTACTACTAGAACTACCACCACTTCTATTTCTCATCATATTATCACACCTAATATCAAGGTTGCTGCTACATTCCGTGCACCGTACGTCTGTGCACCGTGCATCCGTACATGCGAGTTATCGGTACACAAATTTGTCTCCCCTCCAGACAACTCGAACTTCCTTATTCTCAGGGCTGCAGTATCAGGGGCGTATGGTTAACCATTTCTTGGCACCAAGGCTCCCAAGATCGCATCGTGACGTGACAAGCTCTGAACACCAAGGCTCCCGAAAAGCGAGCGGTGCCATTACAAGGTCTGACCACCAAGGCTCCAAAGAGCGAGCGTTGACGTAAAAGGCTCTGGACACCAAAGGTTCACGATCCCATAGTGACGTGATAAGCCTTTGAACACCAAGGTTGCCAAGAGCGAACGGTATTGTAATAAGCTCCTGACCATCAAGGTCACCAAGAGCTCACAGTGTCGTATGAGGCTGCTAACACGGGCAAGGGCGTACTATAACGTAAACTCTTTTGAACACCAATGGCCCGAAGAGCGAACGGTGCCATGAGACATCTCAGGCAAGTTCTTGCAGCGCCCTTTCCGTTCCCGTGCCAGCCCAGGTCCAAAACGTGCTTGGCCCGATGGGCCGGCGATTGGCACCCGCGGAGGACGCTTTCCCCATGGGCCAGGCGTTGCGGTCGAACTACCAGCGCAGGGTCACGTTGCTTGTCTACCTCAACGACGTCGGCGAGGGCGGCGAAACGCACTTCGAGCGCCTCCCGGGTCGGAGGAAGGGGGGGCATAGGGAAAGGGAAGGGTGCATAATCTGCCACATGCAGCAAATTTCGGCCCGCCGTGTTCGTGGGGGGACTCGTCATGTATTCCTTATTATGTTGCGTTGGTGATTGGTTGAGGTTTCGCGTCCACTGGGGGTTCATGCTGGTGTTCTTCGTGGTCCACGTACCATTTGCCCGACCCGAGGTGAAAAAGGCATGTTGCGCGCGAGGGATACGTTGGTGCCTGCTGGCGCCAGGGGGCGCTGGAGGAACCGGCTGCGTGATCGTGGCCCCCAAACGGAGCGGTTACCATACCGTGTGGTGAGTCGTGGATTCTTTGTGAGCGCGTGGATTGGGGATTTGGTGTTGTCCTCCAATCGGGCCTGGCGAAAGGGGGGGATTGGGAAAGGGGGGGTTACGATATCTGCTGCATGCAGCTGGTTTTGGCCTCACCGAGGGGCCCATTCCTCGATACATGGGCGCCTCCCGGCGCCGGGAGGCGCCGGGAAAATCAGCTACGTGAGCTGATTCTCAACCCCCCCCCTTTGTTATCCCCCCCTTTCGCCCGACCCGATCCAAGGACGTCTCGGGCGACTGGGGCTTCAGAGGCCCCAGCACCGTGCGGTGACGGACCGTTCGGTGAGGTCGTGGGGGGCTTTCAGGTGTCACCGCACGGCGCCCGTGGAAGTCCGACCCTTTTCCCCCAAGCTGGCTTCTCACCCCGAGCAGATGTTTAGCGGCCCAAGAGCCCTGCGAAGGCCCCAGGGGGCCGAAGACGGCAGAAACACATCCGTCGTGTTTTTGTCCCAGACTTGAGCATGTTTGGGTGTGGGACGTCAGCGTGAGTTGATTCGTTGACACTCCCCCTTGCATCCCTTGAGGGAAGAAAGATTATGACAATCGTCCGAATGTCGGAGTATCCTGGCGACGCTGGTCCATGCGGGCCGCAGCGGATTCGCGAGGATCGTCCACGCATCGACGGTGACCAAGACAGTCGGTGAGCAAAGTCGGCACCATCACTTCCGCATCCAATTGCTGATCTTTTTGTATCACCTTCGGGGCCACGCAAAGGTATCCTGGGGCCCAAAGGGGCATGACCGGTGCACGTTTTAGTTCCTCCCCCCCGTGTCTCGCCCGTCCCCATGGAGCAACACCCGAGCAGATTCGCCAACCCTCCCTTTGCCGTTCCCCCACCGTCCCAAGCCCGAGCCTCGGCCTGACGGTGCGCCCAGAGCGGGGCGCCGCTCTGCTGTTCTTCCCCGCGCGCGCGGACGGGACGCCCGACCCGCGCACCTCGCACGAGGCACAAGGGTTAAGTCGGGCCTGTCCCTCTACAGGAGGAATATTCCAAAATAGCAAAAAAGTAGTATAGGGACGATTTTTCTATCATCTTTGCATACTTGTTGATTTTATATGTTTGAATACTTTTATGTTTCGTCGAAGATCCGCCTGTAGGGGGACATGCCCTGACCTAACACAAGGGCCAAAGTCAGGTGGGAACAGGCTCAGGGGGAGCTTCGAGGTGTTCGGGCGGGTTTTGCGCTCTTTGCGGTCCTCCCTCAGGACGTGTTCCAACGGCTGCGCCTCGCCGAGGCCGTTTCGGGGGTGCCCAGATCGTTCCGAACGGCCGCTTGAGGCCCGAGTGAAGATTCGAAAGCCAAAATTTGCTCGCGTCGTCAAAAATCGACCAAGGGCCCTCCATGTTGCGCCACGGCCCATGGGAGGCCGTAGCGTAGACCACGCAAAACCCAAAGCCAGATTTGCTGGTGTACGCTGAGCCCCGTGGGACTGTAGGTGGGGTGGTGTCCTTTGTTTTCTGGTCCCATGAAGCACGACGGAAGGTCTGTGGCCGTTTGGGCCTCCGGGAGCCCTGGCCAGGCCGCTTGGGCCGACAGAAGACGGTTTTGGACGAATCGGCGGCCTTAGGGACATGGTCGGGATTTCTGGGGACCCTGTACTAAAGAACTTTAAGACATCGCATGTCTGGGGATGCATTTATCGGAGGGCCAACAAGTCACCACCAGCCCTGGCAAGGGCAATCATGGGCCCTGGACTGGTGTATGGACCTCCTGCAGGACCAGGCCAGGAGGCATGAGCTGGTTTCACCCCGCTGGTTTCGCCAGCGATGGTTTCGCCCCGCTGGTTTCGCTGGCGGCTGGTTTCCCTGGCGCTGATTTCGCCGGCGCTGGTTTAGCCCCGCTGGTTTCGCCCCGCTGGTTTCGCCGGCGGCTGGTTTCGCCCGTGCTGGTTTCGCTGGCGCTGGTTTTGCTGACGCCGTTGTTGCCGTCGGCGTCGGCGTCCCCGCCGCCGCCGCCGCTGCCGCCGCCGCCGCCGCCGCCGCCGCCGCCGCCGCCGCCGTCGTCGTCGTCGTCGTCGTCGTCGTCGTCGTCGTCGTCGTCGTCGTCGTCGTCGTCGTCGTCGTCAACGTCAACGTCGTCGTCGTCGTCGTCGTCGTCGTCGTCGGGCGTCGGGCGTCGGACCCGAGCGGGTGGGTTGGGTCGGGCGAGCGGACCCTTACGGGCGGGTCCGACGGCAGCTGGTTTCGCCGACGGCAACTGTTTTCGCCGAAAGCAGCTGGTTTCGCCGACGGAAGCTGGTTTCGCCGACAGCTGGTTTCGCTGGGCGGCGAAACCAACCGTCGGCGAAACCAGCGGTTGCCAGCCAGGAGGGCCTGTACACAAGTCCAGGGCCCAGGATGGGGTTGGCCAGGGCTGGTACCCCACCCCGCAAGGGGACCCGATAGCCCACTCCGCAAAGACCGTGCGGATTCGCTATCGGGGGCCTCTCGGCGATGCACCGCCGATTCCGGCTCGATGCTTCCCCGCCTGAGCCGGTCCCCCCTGGATGTTTCCCCCCGGAGGCGCGGCCAGCCGTGGACGAGAAGTGGATCGCGCAGGCGCCGGCCGTGAGGGGAATCAGAGGAGGGCGAGCTGAAGCAGCGGCGGTCGGCCTTTGGGGTGCTCCCTCGCTGCCACGGCTGGGCGCAGCTCGGAAAGCTGGCGCGTGTTGGACCCGGGAGGGGGCCGGGGACCGAGCTCGAGCTGCCGTGGTCTCGACTCGCCTGGCTCCGAGTGAGGAGGAGCGGGTCCTGCTGGGGGCCCGGGCCCTCGGGCTTTTCGTGCATTTTCGTCGGGGTGCCCGAGTCATCCTGGCCAGCCGCCCGGGGCCCGAGTTGAGGCCCGGAAGTCAGACATCCATTGTTTTGAACAAGCACGAACCAGGCGCGACCCCATGGATGGGAACGCGTCCTCAGCTGCACTGCTTGGCGTTGCAGTGATTTGCTTGGCGTTGCATTGCTTTGCGTTGCTTGGCGCTCTATCGCATGTGTTGTTTGTATTTGCCTTGCTTGGCATTGCTTGGCATTTCTTCACATTGCTGGGAATTGCTTGGCATTGCTTATCATCGCTTGGCATTGCTTTGTATTCATCTGCACTGCTTTACGCTGCTTGGTATTACTTGTCATGTCTTGTCATTACTGGGGGGTGCTTGGCGTTGCTTCGCATTGCTTCGCATCGCTTGGCATTGTTTGGTAAGTTGGTGCATTGCTTTGCATTTCCTGGCATCGCTTGGCGTTGCTTGGCGTTGCTTGGCATTGCTTGACATTGCTTCGCATTTCTTGGTTTAGCTTAGTCTCGCCTGGCATTCTTTGGTTTTTTTTGTATTGCTTGGCAACGTTGGGTATGCCAAGAAACTCGGGGAACCCAGGGAACCTGTGAAAGGGCGGCCCCTCAAAAACAACAGCAAGGAAGAAAGACCATGGGACCTGGGGAGCCCCGAGGAACGCGAGACCAAGAACCCGGGCAACGTCTTCCGGAACTACCTGGGGGGGTCTCTGACATCCGACGTGAGAAAAAACCAAGACGTTGTGAATTGTCACGACCAGCACCCCAGACCTAATTTTTCTGCGCCATTCTTGGAGCCGGATCGGCTTGTGAGGGTCCCTGGGCCCGAGACTTGACGAAAGCGCCCGCCTCGAAACCATCCTGGGACGCCAGGACCTCAGGGTCTGCGCGCAGCCCGGAGCCTCACCACGCGAGGATGCCTGGGCTTCCTCCTTCAGGGGAGGAAAAACCATCCGGACCCGATCATCGGCGTTTTATGGAACGGCCCTGGACGTTTTCTAGACAGCCCTGCCCTGCTCGAGTCCTCCTCTGAGCGCGTTTCCTGAGCGACTTCGCGTGTCGAGCTGCTTGCTGTAGGGTCAAGTCGGGCCTGTCCCTCTACAGGGGGATCTTCAACGAAGAATAAAAAATACCCCAAACATAGTCAAACCATGGTCCAAAAACAGTCTGGGGACTACTTTCTAAGTATGGTTTGGCCTTTTCGGTGTATTTGTGGGGTATTTGTCATTTTTCGTGGAAGATGTAGGGGGACACGCCCGATTTAACTGTAGGGGTGGGAGGGGTGGAGGGGCAGGAGATGGAGGAGCAGGAGGAGGAGGAGGAGGAGGAGGAGGAGGAGGGAGGAGGAGGAGGAGGAGGAGGCAGGAGAGGAGGAGGAGCAGGAGGAGGAGGAGGAGGAGGAGGAGGGAGAGGAGGAGGAGGAGAGGAGGAGGAGGAGGGAGGTGGAGGTGGAGGTGGAGGTGGAGGTGGAGGTGGAGGGAGGAAGAGGAGGAGGAGGAGGAAGAGGGAGGAGGAGGTGGAGGTGGGTGCTCGTGGCCCCGCCCAGGCCTGGGTCGGCTCGCCGCCCGCCCCGGCGCGGGCGCGGTGAGGGCCTCGGCGGGGGCGCCGCGGGGGCGTCCGAGGTGGGCTCGGGGCGCCGCGGCTCCTCGGGGGCGTCCAGGAGGGGGGGAGCGGTGGCCAGGAGGGGGGAGGAGGAGGAGGGAGGGGGAGGAGGAGGAGGAGGAGGAGGAAGAGGAGGAGGAGGAGGAGGAGGAGGAGGAGGAGGAGGCGAGCCCCCGGGCCCTCGGGCGGTGATTCCTGGGCCCTCGGGGCCTCGGGGCCAGCTCTCGGGCCTCGGGGCTAGGGGAACGAATGATGATATAGACATGAAAACTCGGAGGTCCGCGCGGATGTCTCGGATCGGCGGATTGAGGGGGACATCTCAAGCAGTGGCGAAGCGTCCTGGCTCGCCTATAGCCCTACCAAGCAATGTTCTAAGAACCTTTTGTGGTTCCCACGACATGTTCTTAGAACGTTTCTGGCGGATATGGTCTTGTTTTAGCACATCGGGCTTATGTTCCAAGAACATTGTGCTTGTTCTCAGAACATTGTTGGGCTCTAAGAACATGTCGTGGTAGGACTTTAGGAATGCCGGGACGGTCGGTCCCCGCTCAATCGGGGGCGTCCAGGAGGGGGGGAGCTGTGGCCAGGAGGGGGGACCTGCAGGGGGATTTTCGACGAATGTATATATATATATATATATATATATATAGATACCCCAAACATAGTCAAAAAATAGTCCAAACATGGTCTGGGGACTATTTTGGGGGTATCCTTTTTCCGTTTTGGGGCAGTTTTGGCGTATCTTTCATTTTTCGTCGAAGATCCCCGTGTAGGGGGACACACCCGACAGAAGTCCAGGAGGGGGGTAGCGGTGGCCAGGAGGGGGGAGGGGGACATCGCTGCCAGGGGCCATGAGTTATGATGTTCCAAGCCGCTGCAGCCTTGATCACCAGGAAGAGGGTCGAGCAGCAGACAGAAGGCGGAACTCGGGGGTTCTCGCGTGTCGGGCCCCGGGAGAAACTCGTCCGACCCTGTTCCGACTCGGTTTCGACACGCTTCCGGCACTTTCCCGGGTGCTCGAAATTATTTCTGGGATGTGGTCTTTGCGTAGGATGGGAGCAGCACAATCCCCAGATGTCATGGCGCCCTCTTCTTTTTTTCTCAGCCCTGCGATCCGACGGCTGGCACACACCGCAGCATCGTGAGGAGTCGCGGCCGGAGCGCCAGACCCCATCTCTCTTGGCCGCGCTGCGGGCCGGATCGATCTGTGGGGGTCCCCGGGGGCACCAGGCGAAGGCGCTCGGCTCGGAGAGCAGAGCGGACGCCGGGGTCTCAGAAAGCACCTACCAGTGTGAAACCGATCCCTATCCTTAAGGCGGGCCTGTCCCTCTACAGGAGGGATAGTCCAACATAGTCAGAAAATAGTCCGGGGGCGATGCTTTGATGATTTTGGATAACTGTTTTAAGTTGTTTTGTGACCATGTTTGATTTTTCGGCCAAACGCCGCCTGTAGGGGGACATGCCCGACCTAACCCTATCCCTATGTTTGGCATCACCTTACCTCGATACCGATCTTAAGGACTCCCTAAGTTCCTGAGGGCCCATCCCTAAAATTGTCATTGTTTCTGGCTTGCCCATCTCAGGGGTAGGGATCTGTTCGAGGCTGGTTCAGCACGTCCTATGTTCCCCCCCCCCGTCCGCGCGCACGCCTCGGGATTTTATTTGCCACCCTCCTCTTCGGATTCAACTCCTGGGAGGTCAACTTCTGACTTCGCCCTTGTCCGAAATCTGGCTCAATCCACCTTGGTCCCTCTTAATCTGGCTTCATCCCGCTTAGCCCGGCTCGATCCCGCTTGATCCGCGGCCTAATCCGGCGTAACAGCTCCTTAATATGGAGCTCGGTCCTCCTTATCCCTACCAGCGAAGACCTTCCGGCAGTTGCCGCCTAAACTTTTCGCATGCCCCTGTCTTGGGCGCCCCGGATAGAGCCGGCCGACGACCCACGCACCTCCCACGAGGGGCACGTTTCGCCCGGCCCGAGAGAGGCGCTCCTGGCCTGCGGGCGAGTAAGCGGATGCCGGGCAGGGCTGGAGCGGGCTGGGGGGCTGAGGTGGCGCAGCATCAGGAGGTAACCAAAACGCAGACACAATGAATCGTCAATTCGCTGGAAGGCGAGGGTCCAGAAAAGATTGGAAACGATGGGGGCATCCTGGGATGCGTGTCGATTTATTTGCGTGTCCCTGGGCCCCTTCAGAGAAGAGGAGAGAGATGGCCCCCCTCGTCGCTACGGGTGGCCACGGCTCGGACAAGTTCTAGAAGTTTCGCGTAACCCCGCAAGCCCATCCAGAAACGGTGCCCAGGCGAGTTGCCCTGATCAGGGGGATGTGGAGGAGCATGCAGCTGAAGAAAGGGCTGGGGAAGCCGTCATAGCCAAAGAGGGGGAGGATGGAGGAGTAATCGGAGGAAGAGGGGAAGGAGGGGAAGGGGAAGGGAGGATGAGGAGAAGGAGGAATAGGCGGATGAAGAGGAGGAGGAGGAGGAGGAGGAGGAGGAGGAGGAGGAGGAGGACGATGAGGACGAGGAGAGAGAGGAGGAGAAGGAGGGAGGAGGAGGAGGAGGGGAGGAGGAGGAGGAGGGCGAGCAGAAAGGGCGTAGACATCTCATATACCTCTCGGAGTCGCTTCGGGAGTCACTCGAGAGCTTCCGAAAAAGCTCTTGATGCGTTTAGGGGGTCTCGTGGCATTCCCGGGGGGCTCTTGGAGCGTGTTGGGTGCCTCGGGGGAGCCTCTTGGGGGTCTCGTGGGAGTCGTGGGGGAATCTTTTGGGGACATCTTGGGCCCTCGTGGGCGCCTCTTGGGGTACTTTAAGGAGCCTTGGGTACCATCTTGGGGCCACCTCGGAGGAGTTCGATCAAACAAGGGTGGGTGCTTATTTAGCGCCCCCCCCCCGGAGGCCACCATGTGGCCAAACCCTTGGCAACATCAATGAGTTCGGCCTTCTCGCCGATGCCATCCTGGACGTTCTAACTACCAGGTCCAGGGGGGAGGGGGGAAGGGGGGGAGGGGCAAACCCCTCCCCGGAGGAGGAGAAGGGGGCTTGAAGAGGAAACCCCCTAAACCACTCACGCCCCAAAGGGCTGGCGGGGTTTTCAGCGGATCGATGTTGAGCGGATTGCTGTTGAGAAGATTTGCCCTCGGCACCCTCTCTTGACCTTATCTTTCGATTGGGGGACCGACTACAGAATCGATCTATCCCGAATTCGATCTCTCGGTCGGACCTGCGAGAGGGACGCAGACGGCGCCGCAGATCTCGGAGCATCCTGCGTAAGTCTCGTAGATCCGACGGAAAGATTAACTGTAGAGTACAGTGCCGTTTTTTATACATGCTCCGCGTGCGGATCATGTGTTAAGCATGCAGGGGGTTAGTAGCAAAAATAACGATGAGTTCATGCATGCATGGATTCGCAATTAATCGTGTAGTAAAATCGTATATGCTTAAAAGTCCGATGTGTTGAAAACTGCCCTGTACATCAATTCTCTAGTCGATCCCCCGCTCGAACCTTCTCAGGGCCCCTCGGGCGCGCAGCCCCCCCGCGGCCGCAGCCCCGGGCAGTGCGCGGGACGGCTCGCCGCCCGGTGCAGAGGCTGGGCTCCGTCGTGGGGAGCCCGCGGGGCGCTCGAGCGCGGCCGGGCGCCACGCCATCCACGGCGCGGGCGAGGAGGTGAGCCGTGCGGCACACCTCCCCCGCGAGGGGAGCTCGGACGTCACTGCGTCGTGAAAAAGGAAAACAGGGCGGGAGGTTTTCGCCAGTTTTCGGCCCCGGGGGGCCCTCGCCGAGCCTCGGGGCCGTCAGGAGACGACCCGGGACGAAAGACCGGTCCCGGGGAGAGGGTCGGGACTTCCAGGGAGGCCGTCCTGAACAAAAATCAGGACGTCGCATGTCTGGAGTTTTCGGGTCCTGAGGGAAACGGATCCCGAGCTTTTTTCTCCGTCTCCGGGCTCTCGGGCCCCTCCACGGGCCCTGGCCAGGAGCGACACAAGGACGTACACGTACATGAGTCCACGCTGGTTTCGAGAGCACGCATTGCGCAAATGTTCGCATAACGCGGCCGGTCTCGCGGATCGAGGGGCCGTGTTCATGTACATAGCTGGGCGCGTACGTCCTTTGTGGGCCCCCAGCCTGGGAGTGAGAGAAAGCGGCTGGGGATGAAGAGCTCGCCCTGGGGGGGAGGGCCCCCGGGGTCCAGGACCCGTGTCCCTTAAGACCCGCTTCCCCCACGTCGAACCCCTTCGAGCTCTTGGGCTCCAGCCCTGTCGGGGGCGGCAAAGAGGGGGGTGATGACTGGGGGGGGGGGATATCATGGCGGGGGCCCCGATTTTTTCCCAGATTTCATGGCGCCTCTTCTTTTTTCATTACGTCCCTGGCCCCCCCGCTGGGCCGCGCACATGCCGCCGGTCACGATTTGCACCCCCCCCTCTTGGACACCCCCCTCTTGGCCGCTCCCGACCCTTGAGCGGTGGTTCTCGGACGTTTCCGCTAGCGTTCGGGATCTTCTCGCCTGGGGATTTCCTTCATCAGCTGCGCCGGTGCCCCAGTCGAGCAGGGGACCTCGGGTGGCCTACGGCCAGCGTCTCGAACAAAAGCGCGGCGAAGGTTCCTCGTCGTTTTCGACCTCCTGGGGCCTTCGCTGGGCACAGGTCGGAGGCCTAGAGGTTGACACCAACACCAGTATCGGCGTTGTGCCTCAACCAAGGGACGATGATCCCAATCTCGGTCATGGTGGTAATATTCTGGCTTCCAAGGGGACCGAAATATTACCACCAACACCGAAATCTAGGATCATCTTACCCCTGTGGAGGCGGCCCCCTAAGTTGGTGTTGGTGCCCATTTCAAGGCCTCCAGACAGGGCCGTCTGAAAAATGTTTGTGTTGTCTTCATTGTTTTGCCGATCGGCGCGGGCCCTCGCATCCCGCCTCCCCCCCCTTCAAGCAGCGGCGAAGCGTCCTGGCTCGCCTATAGCCCCACTAAACAATGTTCTAAGAACCTTTTGTGGTTTCCACGAAATGTTCTTAGAACATTTCTGGCGGAGTCTGTCTTGTTTCATCACATCGGGTTCATTTTCTAAGAATATCGTTTTCGTTCTTAGAACATTTTCGGGTTCTAAGAACGTTCTAAGAACATTTCGCGGTATGACTATAGGAATGCCGGGACGGTCGGTCCCTGCTCATCCCCTGGAGTGGATTTTGGCTGTTTTTGGCGCCTGTATCAAGCATGTGGAGTCCCTCCCCGTGCACTGTCGCAAAGAGTCGCACTAAGCAGAGGTCCAGAGCCAGACCCCCCACCGCCCCTTTCCGCCCAATGTCGAAACGCCGAATAAAAAAACGCTCACATAGACGACTCGGGATGAGAAGCTGGCCCTGGGTAGAGGGTTGAGACTTCTCGGGAGGGGCCGTATGAAATGTATACCAAGTCGTCGGATGTTCGGGACTGGCGCGCATCTTACTAGTGTTTCCAAGTCTCGGGGTCTCTGCCTCTTGTTTTGGTGGTCGTTCCTTGTCTGTGTCCGTCGCTCTCTTGACATATTCTCGTTCCCGCCGCGGACGGAGCAGGGGGGTCGGAATGAGGTCTTTTCCTCATCCTCATCCCTCCTGTTTTTTCTGTTCAGTTCGCGTACGTACGTTCGCGCTCTTGCGCGCGTGCTCGCAATGCTAGTCGCAACCCCGCAGGGGCCAGAAGTGATTCCGCCATGTCGTCGTTTACACCCACTTGACGTCTAAGTCCAAGAGTTTGCTGTGTGTCTGAAACGATCCGCACCATGGAGTTCTGGGGCATCAGTGCACCAGTGACAGTCGATGAGCTGGTCCTCTCCCTCCTTCCTCCTAACCTCCTGCCTCCTTCCTCGTTCTCCTCAGCGGGCCCAGCCCCAGAGCCGCTCGAGCTTGTGCTCCGGCGCCTGGTTTGCCGAACTATCCCAGGGCCTCCAACGACGAAGCCCACGGCACCCCGACCCGAGCGGTTTTCCCATTTTTTGGAGCTGGCCAGAAAGGACCTATCGTCGCCGTGGCTGGACGCGGCCTGAAACGCTGCTCGGGTTCGGCCCCGCGAGGGGTCCGCGGACGTCTTTTGCGTGGGGACCTCGTCGCCGTGGCTGGACGCGGCTGGAAACGCTGCTCGGTGTCACCCCCGGCGAGGGGCCCGCGGACGTATTCTGCGTGGGCTTGCCCTCGCCCCCCTCTCTTGGCCGATCCTCTCGGGGCCCATGCAGCGCGGACTCCCCGGCCGCCTCCAAATCCCCCCATCGCACAAGGCGAACTGACGGACAAGAGCCCGTTTCTTTATTGCTCGGGGCATGACGGGCGTCATGGCCCCTGCTCCCCCCCCCCCTCCCCTATGACGTAACGCTCCCCCCCCCAGTGCGCTCCGGGCACTGCCGCCGTGCGCAGGGATCCGCGTAGGTGTCCGCGTAGGAATCCGCATAGGCGTCTGGTCCGCAGGCGTCGTCGTCGTCGTCGTCGTCGTCGCATTCCAGAATGCGGAGGCGTCCCTGTATTCTTGGGAGCGCAGCCTGGGAGACTCGCAGCCCATTCGAGTCTTCACGGATGCAGGAAGCTGGGGAAAAATAGGGCCACTAAGTGCCCGAGACGCACAGGTCTCGCATCGTCGTGCGTGCTCAGAGGAGGGCCCCTTTCCATCGCCTGTTCCGATTCGACTCCGATGTCTTAGCGCTCCGGGGCGGCACGACGTTCGCGTGGCGCCGTGATGCACCCTGGCGCAGCCGATCCCATGCCGGCTCCACTCCGTGCCGACGCGGCCCGATTCGCTGCGAGTTGCGAACCGACGGCCTGGTTCCCTGACCTTCCAGGAGGGCTAAAAAATAGCACCCGACCTAAAAAAAAACAATCCCAGAGCTATTATGTGTCTTGGTTTTAGGTTGTTTCGTTTCGTTGTTTTAAGTTTTTTGGCCTCCAGTGCTAAAAAATAGCTCTCTGGAAGGTCAGGATTCGATGGTGACTGATCCTGCCCCACCGCCAGCAGCATGCCTTGGAGCCGAGGCCTTGGCTCGGAGGAAGCAGGGGATGCCGATGCTGCTACCCTGGAAGGAGAACAACACCGCACGAGAATAAGCTGTCGGAGTTCCGCGCGGATTTCTTGGATCGGCGCCGTGCTCCTCTGGCGGCGCCTCTGGAGCCGCCCTTCGCGCGGCCAGGGAGCAGGTTCCGGGGCAGATCCGAGAAATCCACGCGGCCTTTTGAGAGCTCATCTTTGTTCCTGCCCCTGGGCACATGCCTGAGGGCCACCAGCGACGCCGCCGCGTCCTCGGCGTCCCCTCCCTCTGTCGTTCGGCCCACGGCCGAGGCGTCACGCCATCCTGCTGGGCTCCTGTGTCCTCGCGTGCGGCTGCCTCCTCTCCGTGCAGCGTGGCCCATGTGGGCGCGCGGGCCGCCCGCAGGGCACCGCAACATCCTGGAGGTTGCCGAGGTCCTGTGCTCGCCGGACGACAGGCGCGCCGGCGCCCCGTCGGGTCTCGAGAGGCGGGGGTCCAAGCGGGGGTCGGCCAGAGCGCCGGATGTTCCTGGATCCTGCAGGGCCAGGGAGTCGGGGTGACCCAAGAGGGGGTCCAGCGACAAGGGGGTGGTGCAATTCATTCGGTGCAATCGATGTGTGGGGCGGCCATACATTTTGGGACGTGCAGTACACTTCGGGGTGCAGATGTATTGCTGTACTTTCGCGTGCAATGCATAACTTGCAATACAATGCAATACGATTCTCTGGCGCAATACATTTGCAACACAACTGCCCCTAGTCTATTGCACTACCCCTTTTGAGCTGGACCCCCTTTTGGGTCACCCAAAAGCATGCACGGACCCGGGCTTGGGCGCAGGACCTTGCAGCATCTTGCAGGCTTCCCTAGGTTCCTGCAGCGCCTGACTGACCCAGGCCCGCACTGACCCGGGTCAGTAGATCCCCGACCCTGCGTGCCGCTAGGTGCTCGGCGTAGGGAGCGCCGCCCGAGCGACGCAGGACGACTGCTTCGCTCGTGGCGACCTTCGCGCGCAGGCTGCCCCGCCCCTGTGCGGCCGCGCGGGAGCGCCCTCCACTCCGCGCGGCGTGCGCCGCGCTGGCGGCCCGCGTACGCAGCGGCGTAGTGCTCCCATGTCTCGCCGCGTGGAGCCCGTGTGTTGTCGTCGCTTACAGTCCTCCTCCTCCTCCTCCTCCTCCTCCTCCTCCTCCTCCTCCTCCTCCTCCTCCTCCTCCTCCTCCTCCTCCTCCTCCCCCTCCCCCTCCTCCTCCTCCCCCTCCCCCTCCTCCTCCCCCTCTTGGCCGATTCTCTCGGGGCCCATCCAGCGCAGACTCCCCCGCCGCCCCCAAATCCCCCCCGTCGCACAAGGCGAACTGACGGGCAAGGAATGCGGAGGCGTCCCTGTACAATTGGGGCCCTGAAGAAGGAGCCCTTTTCGTTGGGGACGGGCTCCGCGTTCCTCGAGTGTCTCACAGCATGCCTCAGGCTTTAAGGGACCTTGTTCCCTATTTAGGGTTCCTCAGGTCAACACCACGACGGTACCCGCCTCACCTCGACGCAGGGACAACGGCACGCACACGAGCAGTTGGAGGTCTGCGTGGTTTTCTAGGAAGTCCACGCCGGGCCTGGGAAGTCCACGCCGAGGCTTCGCCACGTTCGCGCCCGCGCTGCTCAGTGGTACATCGGGCCTGTCCCTCTACAGGGGGGGATATTCAAAAACAGTGAAACATTAGTCTGGGACTATTTTTAAGCATGTGTTGGCCATTTTGGAGCATTCTTTGAGTATTCTCTATTTTTCGCCCAAAATGCTCCTGTGGGGGGACACGCCCGACTGAAGCTTAGTGTTCTGTCGGGCGTGTCCCCCTACAGGGGGATTTTCGACGAAAAATCCAGGAATACCCCCAACATATTTCAAACAGGTAAAACATGCTCGAAACATAGTCCTCCCATTCTTGTTCGATGATTGTTGGGGCACTTTGCATTTTTCGTCGAACATTCCCCTGGTTGGGGGGACACGCCCGACTGAAGCTCAGTGCTCCTGGGCGCCTTCGCGGACGCCCCGTGCGCCGGGGCTTCGGCGCGCCCGCGCGCCCGTGCGCCTGGGCGCTTCGAGGCCTCGGCGCGCTCGCGCCCGGCGGGCGCCTCGTGGGCGCGGCGTGGCTGCCACATCGCAGCGGACACCGCACGGCTCACGCGGGCCAGCTTACGCCGCACAGCTGACGCCGCACGGCGTTTGCCTCCTATATGGGGGGCAAGAAGTGGCATGAACATAAAGACTCGGAGGTCCGCGAGGATTTCTCGGATCGGCGCTGGCCCCCCCTCCCTGGCGCGCGGAGCGCGCCAGGGGCGGCGCGGGAGGCGCCGCCGGGGGGCCCCAGCGCCGATCCGAGAAATCCGCGCGGACCTCCGAGTTTTTATGTTTATGCCACTTTTCGTTCCCGTATCCTAGCTAATCTCACCGCTCACACCGCACAGCCTTCACCTCCAGCTCGCACCATGTAGCTCGCATCGCATACGCTGGACCTGCTGCCTGACAGTTTTGTTGAGTGCGTATTGGGTCGCGGCCCGCAGGTTTCCAAATGTGCGTGCACCTCCTGTCTGTCGTACGTGTGCTGCTACGGGCTGCATTTCGGCAGGCTGAGCATTGCTCATATCTTCTCCGCCCGCCTCTTCTCCCCCCCCCTCCTTCGCCCCCTTTCCTGCCCCTCACCCTCCTCCCTCTCTCTCTCTCCTTCCCATCACTCCTCCCTCTCCCTCCTATTCCTTCTCCTACTCCCTCCTCTTGCCTCCTTCCTCCATCACTCCCTCAGTCCTCAACCATCCCTCATCTTCTTCTTCCTCCTCCTCCTCGACGGAGGGAAGCCCCCCCTGTGCCCCGCGGCGCCTGGCCGCCCCGACCCCGAGAGGCACCTGTACATCGTGTCCCACATGTACGATTCCGACCTGTCGAAGGCGCTGCGCTGCCGCGCCGTGCGCGCGGCGCACCAGCCGTACATCGTCTACCAGGCCCCGCCGGGCGGGGGGCTCAGAGGAGGAACCGGGGCTCGAGAGTCTGGACGCCCGAAAGGGGTACGGAAAGAATGGGTACGATGCCCAACAGCAGTTCTTGATCATTTTGAACAGGACTCGCTGTCCGCGCCGCCGCGGCCTGTGTCCATTTAGATAGAAGGCCGCCAGCCCAACAGTGGCCGCTGTTGGTTTGGGGCAACACTTGTTGTTGGGCATTGTGCCCATTCTTTCCGTACCCATTTCGGGCGTCCAAAGAGAGACGGGGGCCAACGCAAACGGGGGTCAGCCAGAGCGCCCGTTCTTGCAGGATCTTGCAGGGCCAGGGTCGCACTGACTCGGGTTTGGAAGCAGGATCCTGCAGGATCTTGCAGGATCCTTCGCATTGACCTGGGTTAGGGTGCAGGATCCTTCGCATTGATCCTGCAGGATCTTGCAGGATTCTGCGAGGCCTGACTGACCGGGGTCTGGATTGACCCGGGTCAGAAGATCCCCGAGGGAAGGTACCCGAGTTTCTTAATAAACGTCGGGGGGGCATCACCCCCGCCGACAGCCCCACAGGGACCCCTGTCGCGGGCAGCCATTGCGAGCCGAAGGCGCTCGACGAGGCGAGGTCGACCCCCGTCGGGGGGAACTACCCCCCACGCTTGATAGGAAGCCCAGAGTATACCCTTCACTCGTTTTCCCCCCGTCCTGGGCCTCCTGGGAGGCCCTCGTCGCCACCGCCGGATTCGCCTCGAAGCTCCAACGTCCGAGCGCACCCCCGGCATATCGGTGCCTCTTGGTGTTGCCCCAGGGGCCCACAGGCCTCCCTGAGTTCTCGGGGGGCTCAGCACTCACGGGGGGTCAGCCAACCTCCCTCCAGCTGACCAGGGTCTGGGGGCCGATTCCCCTCTTTCCGCCCTCCATCGGCGGCGGCCAAGAGGGGGGTGATGACCAGGGGGGTGC